GTTATTGTTGCCAATACTTCTTGATCACTATCAAAAGTGACAGACAGAGTGACTTGTTTGACAGCCGTTTGATGGTTCCCTATCCAGATGGCTGAGAAAAGTCTGTTGACAAGGTCACCCAGATTGTGTTGGTTTCCCGGTTGATTTTTCACCAATTTTTTTTGCATCTTGATGGCCAGATCGCACAGGTTTCACCCTGCGTCCTGTGGCAGGGCTTCTCTCTTCCCGGGATTTCCTAGCTGGCTTGGCATTCCGCGTGTTCCACAGCACCCAGTACATCAGGCACGGGTCAAACCCTTGGTACGCACCAGAACCGTAAGTAAACCGGTCGTAAACTTCTACCAGCAGACAAAGAAATTTATGGTGCGAGACATAGGTTTGACATGAAAAGCCTACTTTTAATCATGCTTAGAAATAGGTCCAATCCAAATACTACATATAAGCACAAAAATGATGCACACGGTGTCAGTAACAATACAAAGCCATTGGACTGCGTAGCATGATTTCCTTACAAGCCAGTCTAGGTTGTACGAGTTTAGGAAACCTACCTTTAGTCTGTGGAAAAGTCACCTAACCTAAACTATGCCTTTGCCCGGAGTCTGATGAGAAATCTAAGGGTTATGGGGTTGTTTTGGTGGAAATACCGGTATAAAACCATGCAATTGGTAATTGACGAGTGACTCGGTTCACAGATGTAACAATTAAAACTTGTGCGTAGCAGTAAGATTTGTTGGTAAGATCAAAAGGAGCGGGTTTAATGTTCTCATCAGTTACTCCATTTACCCAATTACGTTTCAGTCTATTAGACTCATTAACAATTATTATGAAAGAACTCTTGAATAATCTGCACTAGCACTGCCAGAAATCCACACGCGGCACTCTGCAATCCCCACATGGTGTGACTTCCTAGAGATCACCCAGCATATCTGTGGATTGCTTGTGCCTACGCTGATTCTAGCTTGTGGGTACTTCAAGGCTTTGACCAACCTTTGTAGTAATTTGTCATCCGTGTATGTCTTAATAATCTAACAAGCTCATGATTTATTGTATTTCTCTTTGTCTTTTTGTAATGTTTTTTGGTAAAATCATACATGTGCAATGCAACTTTCTTAGCTATGATGATGATTTTAATAAAATACCATTTTGATAATAACATTAACTCACATCAGGTCATGCGTGCTGTACTACACAGGTTATTTCACGCATTATGAGAATGACACCAGGGCGCCGATAAAACTGATCTCGCGCATGTTCCGTGCTAGCCCCATACGTAGGGCTGTAGTGGCTCTCTTTTACAGTCTGTCTCTTATCTGTCGCCACCACAGCCCTATGTGTGGGGCTAGTTCCGCGCCATATGCACTTATTTGAAATGATGTCTTCTGTCACTGCCATCAACTAAACTTGTATGAGCCAATTGAAGTTGCGATTAAGTGACCTCATGTTTTACGCATACCCGTGTAGATTGATTTTAATGTCTGACGAACAATTATTTTCCATCATGTAATTGTCTTTTCTTCTTACCAACAGTGATGTTTGCCATGAGCTGATTGGACATGTGCCGTTGTTTGCTGATCCTAGCTTTGCTCAGTTTTCACAGGTGAGATTTGAGGTTGTGTTATTGGCTCTCTGTGGTGTTCAATTCACTTGTGAATAAAAAAAATTGAAAGCTGATTCTTGGAAATAAAATAAGCCTTGGTGTCTGATTTAGAATTACGTAGGGATCCACCCTGTAGGAGGTTGAGAATTTTTGACTTGATTGTGATCCAGTGGTAAGGGGTTCGAATCCAGTTGCTGTGTGCTGATTGAGTAAGCCCACTGCTTTTGCTCAGAAATTTAATTAGGTATGGGTGTTAACTGGAGGGTAATCTACAATGGACCTACAATGTTAGTCTGGTTTCCAGACCGAATGTGTTGACCAGTTGAGATTTATTTTCAGGTCTGGTTGCCACCACAGTTGCTTGACCAAAACAGAAGGAATTTCTGAATCTTTCCATCACTGTCTGAAATTTCCAAACCACTACTCATTGACTTTTTGGAGACTGTCTTTATTATTTCCAAATGTCCACAGTGTAAAAATTGTTTTCCTTCTCTTTGGCTTTGCATTGTTGAAAAAAAATGTTTTTAATACTCATTGCAGCTTTTGCCTGACACTGAGTTTTACAAAGTAACAGAGATGCACTAGTTGCATTCAAGATGTTACATCTTGCATTGCCCCTTGGTCTGTTTTGGTCAATGATGGCTACCTGACCTTTACATCTGAAAACCAGACTACCGCAACACTACGCTGGGAAGATAGGGGAAGATTAGTATCCGTTATCTCATGTCCAGGAAGACTGGAGTTAAATATGTGACTGCTGAAGCCTTTTTATATCTCAGGCATATATGACACTTTCCACTTTCCTTTCAGGAGATTGGTCTTGCTTCTCTCGGTGCACCTGATGAATACGTAGGGAAGCTGTCAACAGTAAGTTCTCATTTAGTTTGCTTAGAAACTATACATAAACTGTTTGAAGACATAAAAAAAGTCTCCTGTGATGAGTAGATACTTCCGCCTAATATTTTGTTGTTTTGCAAAAACTAAAACTTTGTTTTAGTATATGTATGGATATAGACCTGAATAATGCAAAAGAGATTGTAACATATTGCTACAGCAAACCTGTAGTAGTTGCATGTATTAAGCACTCACTGGGGGTTTTGAAGTTTTTCCAGCTGGGCTCATTAAAATACCATGAAAAACTCTTCATAATCACTGATTTTGAGTGTGTATACATGTATGTGTACTTTTTCCTGTTTTGTCAGTGCTACTTTTTTACCGTGGAGTTCGGGATGTGTATTCAGAATGGTCAACGCAAAGCATACGGTGCTGGGCTGCTGTCCTCCTACGGGGAACTGCAGGTAAGATTTGGAACCAAAATGAAAACATTGCAAGTATTGGCTTTTCTTGAGTGGACATTGTGTGGCTTGAGAACAAAATGGGTCCACATAGTGAAGGGTTCATGTGAACCTTGTTTGGACTAAGCAAGGTCCACATGAGGTTACTCTCCTCTCTGAAGAACAGTCTTATACATATTTGGGGCTAGGTTTGGCAAAACAAAGAACAGTAAAGGAAACCGCAGTTCACAGTGCCAGATAAATTAGTATCACTCTGAGATTTCTTTACCACACGAAAACAGGAATGTCCACACTTGGTATATGTTTGTATTGCAAATTTCTCTATGTGTATGAAAACTGAGTGAACAGTGACTATGCTTCAGCTACATTAACGGTCCATTGGAAGACGGGCAGCATGCACGTCTTCAAGTTAACCCAGTAGACCTCGGAAACTCACTCCAAACAATAGACAAATGACAAACAGCTAGAGAACAGACAGACAGCCAAATTAGCAAGACAGACATACAAGGTGCATGATGAAGTGCCAACCAACATTTCTGACTGTCTCCTTTGTTTCTCACCATATTTAGGAAAACACCGAACATAAAGTTCCAACGTAAAGAATGGAAGATTCCTATTCACAATCTTGTTTCCTTGTGTCAGTTGTTGTTTCCGTTTATTTCCCAGTACTGTCTGACAGACAAACCTGAATTCAAACCCTTCAGCCCGGCTAAGACGTTTGGGCAGAAATACCCCCTCTCCAGTTTCCAGCCAATGTACTTTGTAGCAGAGAGCTTTGAAGACGCCAAGGATAAAATGAGGTATATTCATTTTAATATGTAGATTTAAAGTGTGAAAAGCTAGTTACAGGGACAGAAATTAAGCTGTGGAAACCATAATCAAAGTGAACATGAAGAAAGAAATGGACTGGATCAGGGTTTGAATCTGAGACCTCAGGAACATCATCAAATGTCACAAGTTGGTCAGAAGGCTATCACAAGTCAAATCACTAGGGCTGTGCCGAGTATCTGAATATTCGATCGATTATCAAATATTCGAATACTATTTTCCGAATATGAATATTCTAATGCAAAATTAGTAAAAAGAGAGAATTTTCTTTGTTTAAATGAGAAAAATTGCACTATGGAGGCTTTTTTTCAAGTAGATTCAAATGAAAAGCAACAGAAATCTTACAACGACTCCAAAAGTAAATTATTCATTTAAAAATTTAAAAGGAATTGAAATTGAGAAGCTATTGTAGTGATTATAAAGTACAATTGTGTGCAATATTGCAACTGATTTTATAATGGTTTAATAATTAACAATTTGCCGGTCGGTAAGACCTAATATTTGTAAACTTGATCTAACTGAAGGTTTTAATCTTGAATTTTTTGAATAAGCTAATCAAAACTCAGATTACAACTCAATCACAGATCATACCAGAAGTCAGATTACAACTCAATCACCGATAATATGAGAAGTCAGATTACAAGTCAATGACAGATCATATCAGAAGTCCGATTACAAGTCAATCACAGGTTATAACAGAAGTCAGATTACAAGTCAATTACAGGTCACATCAGAACGTCGTCTACAAGTCAATCATAGGCCTTATTAGAAGTCCAGTTAGAAGTCAGTCACAGGTCACGTCAGAAGTTAGTTTACAAGTAAATCACAGATCATATCAGAAGTCCGATAAAAAGTCAATCACAGGTTATTACAGAAGTCAGATTACAAGTCAATTACAGGTCACATCAGAACGCTGTCTACAAGTCAATCACAGGTCATATTAGAAGTCCAGTTACAAGTCAGTCACAGGTCACGTCAGAAGTTAGATTACAAGTCAATTACAGGTCATATCAGAAGTCAGGTCTTAAGTCAATCCCAGGTCACGTCAGAAGTCAGGTCACAAGTCAGTCACAGGTCACAAACATGTCATATCACAAGCCAGTCACAAGTCAGTTACAGAATCTGAAGTTAGTCATGAATCAATACCAATTTACCATAGATCAGTCACTAGTGACAAGCCAAATTATAAGTGACTTGCAAGTCATTCACAAATTAATGTATGATATTGACGTATGATTTTGTAAGTTTAGAACACATGCTTTAATTTCCAAGAGTAATGGAGTAATGAAAATTACCTGCCAAACAAAATCCTTTAAAGTCAATCTCTGTGATATTTCAATATCAAATTACACAGGTCAAGTGTAACAGGCACAAAAATGACACACTTCAAATCTAATTTATAGAGTGACCATATCGTGGTTTTTGAGGATACCAGTCCAATAGGAGAATATACCATCTGTAAAAGGATTCATGAGCAGTTACAAACCCTTCTAGTCCTGTATTTCATAGGTCAGATAAATTCCTAATTACAGTGCACTAATATTGTAGCCAAACTCTTCCAGAAGTTAAGAGGGTGTGCGTGTAAACACACAAGTTTGAGGCAACGGAAACCCAGCTGTATGTTATCAAGTGCACAGATCAGGAAGTGTTGCTCATCAATCTCTTTTCCAGGCAATTTGCCTCCGTCATCCCGCGGCCCTTCTCGGTCCGCTACAATGCCTACACTCAGTCGGTGGAGGTGTTGGAGAAGAAGACACAGCTGAAGGAGCTGGCCCAGTCTATCCGAGGTAAGTCAGGTTGCCCGTATCTCACATCATTTTTGCTACTCCGGCTCAGTGTCTCATCTTGCCACCCGTCCACCTGTCCGGCCTGAGGATGGGCAAAATTAAATTTGAATAGACAATTTTTGCTTCTATAACATTACAAGCCCCAATTTGTTTTCTTTCATAAATCGATAACCTCGGTGAACCAATCTTCACATTTGCTTCCCAAAAACTTGGTGGAATGCAAATATGACCTCAGATAGTATGTCATTTTCACAATTTTTTCCTGGAAGTGGACAGGAAGTTTTAACCTTGGCTAGAAAGGGACTTGGAAATATTTAAATCCTAGAATTATACTAATAGAATTAACTAAATAGGAAACACCTGGTGGCAGTAAACATTTCAGTCACACATGCCAGTCCATTGTCTCTGTTCGTCCATTGTCTCTGCCACGCTTGAACTAATGTGCTCATAAAATGAAGAATAAAAAAAGTGAACTAGTTGCATGGGACTGATATGCATACAGAGCCTTTTATTGCAGTTTTGTTTCTTTCTGCCTTGAAAGGGGACCTAAACATCTTGATCGATGCTGTCAACAAAGTCTCCTAAACAAGCCCAAGTTTTCCTCAGAATCTTCTTGGAGCATCGCACCAAGGCACTTCAGAAGTAATTAAAAATGGCATGAATAAGTGTAATCATTTTAGTTGACTTAGTTTAATAGTTTCTTCAATCCTTAAAAATATATCGAGATACATTACAACTAGAATTAAAATACGCTAAAATTTCAAGCACACAGCAGTGCAAAGAATCAAGAATTTGTACATTAATAATTGTCAGTGGCTTTGAAAAGAAGGGATTTCATGATAAGGCCAGAGTACATCTACATGTGACCAGCCACAACACTCATGGAAATGAAAATCAAAATGGCACAATAGTTGGAAGTTGCAGCATTGAGCATGGATACTGAGAATGTTTCACAGTCATGAGTGAACTTTGACCTCTGAGCTTAGTAGCTGGCCTTCTAGCCTGAAAAGGCAAAGTACAAAAGTAGCATCTTTACTACAAGCTCAGAAGAAGGAGAATTTACATGTAAATGCAGGTTACCTTCAGTTAAATATCTCTGATTGTGAGTTCGTTATACAAAGTGCATTTTGTCTTGTAGAGATACGATCACATTTATTTCACGTAGGCAAACACTTCAGAATCATTTGATAAAGAAATATATCTAAATCTTTTATTCAAGTTTATTGCTACTATTGCATCGAGGTTTACTTTGCATTGAGGTGTTCAGTTCATCTAGAAAGGATTATTTTTGTCTTTTAAAGATATATTACACTCTATTCATTGCTTTATTAGCTAGCTCTGTGGTGTTGCATTTTGACATTGATTTAGAAGTATAATTTTGACTACTTTGAGTGGTGTAGTGAAACCAACCTCCTGAGGTGATCTGTGGAGCATGTCAATTTTTCCCCGAGGCCAAATTTTCAGATAAAGTTGCCAATATTTATTTCACAACATGTCTCCTGCAGGTTCTGATTGATTTAACTGATTAATTTGATCTAAATATTCATAAACTTTGCGGCTGTTTAAATCAGAAATTTGTTGGAAATTTGCAGCACTTTCCAATTTAACTCTTCACGAAATGTTGGAAACCCAACTCTATCACTAGCATTCGGGATGAGTGCAGCGCGCACCTAAAAAGGAATTTGTACACAGACCAGTGGTCATGCATATTGTTTTAATAATCGTTGCTAGGGGTTTGGTACTCTGGTTGTTAAAAGTGCAGTTCTTTTAGCTGTAAAAGCACAATACACGTATAGCCAAATTAGCAAATGCCATGTGACTTTCTCTTGGCCAATCAAGACACAATGTGGTAATTACTTGATATGTTTTTACCAAATTTTAGACCCATTTTTTTCCTTCTCATCATTTTTGTAGATTGGATGTTTCCGATGATTTTTCTTATTTGGTTATAATCAGCCTAAATCAGTGATTTGCAATAGCCTTGTCTTTGCTGTTAATTAGGGCAGAAATGCCAGTGGATGAGTTGGTATCAGTTCTCATATTTTCTTCTCATTATTTCGCTAGACATCGGAGATTCCGAAAATATTACTTCACCTACTGTAGTTCTATTCTCAGCATTCAAACTTTCGTGGTGCTGGCTGAAAATCTACAGTATTTTATTTCCTTAAACTACACGTGACTTTTTTTATTTTGCCTGTCATGCCAAGCACATAGTATCGAGAACTAAATGAAGTATTCTCGTAATGTTTTTTATCAAATTTTTTTCCTGTATCTTGTTTCAGCAGATAATCTACATGTTTGTGTATATAAGAAGGTTAATCAAGGTAAGAGGTTGATGAGGTTGTTGTTACTTGTGAGTGTTGTCGCGTTTCAGTTATGGCGGGGTCTTTGTGTTATGGAGGGCGTAGGTAGGTGTGACCCCTCGCACCCGGCACTGGTAAGGGTCCCTCACCAGTGAGTTCTACCGCACAGACGTTGGAGAGGAAAAAAAAAATCTTTGTTTAGCTTTCAACTTGTTATTATTCGTGAGCAAACCGCAAGTGATGAAAGTTTACAGTTGTTGACATGTCAGCCTTGTTTTTGCTTTGAATGTTTTTTGTTTGGTCGTTCGGCCTTTTGCTTTTGTTTTTGAAAAGTTTATTCAGAGTTGCTGCCTTGTGTGGGAATGGTTGAAATCAGAGAAGTTATAACTGTGGATTGTTAAGATCATGACTTTTTCTTCAGAATTTCTTACTTCTTTTTTTTTTAGGGAGGTGGTGCTTTTGCCTGTGCGTTGTTGCTTTGTTCGGCGGTTTTGTTTTTGAAGCATATTTAAATCCTTTCGTACTCGTTATTTTGGCATAGAGTCACACGAAGAGACGCATTAACTACGGCGGCATTCGCGCGCGTGTTCTCAACCCTGACACATGCCCGTATTTGGGCAAGACGGCTCCCTATCCGCCCTGAGCAGGAGCACCCCCTCATCGGTTGAAAAAAGCCATATTGGTCAGGAGCGCTCATTTTGTTGCTAGCGATGCGCAGTTACTACCGAAGGAGCGTCCATTGCTTGGAAATTGCGCCCTCTCTTGGTCCAGGCCAGAGCCCACGGAAAAAGAGGTACTCAACGCACGCGCACCGCTTGCATGCGAGCGTGACACCGTAGTCATAGCCCCCATTTGGGGGCATTGGATTAGGCTACATGATATTCTTTTGCCAAGTTGTGTATTATTCTCATGAAATGTTGGGTTCGTCCCATTGCAGTTAATACTTCGCTACATTTGACCCACTGCATGTTTTGTTTACCACTTGTGTTTTGTTAAAAATAGCATCTTGGAAAGATTTATTTGTGCCTCTTATTTTGTTTCAGTTTGACACAACTTATTGTGCATTGTTGTACTGTCTTGAAATGTGAGCATTTATTAAAACCGAGTATTCTTACCCTTTTTCGGTGAAAGTTTCCAATCAAATGTCTCTGCTTGTATGTTCATACATGTTGGCTACATCATGTACAGTACATGCAGTTCAAGATTCGAAAGTGTTCCTTCTTCAATTATGTTTGGTATTTATGAAATTCAGACTTACCAAAGGAATGACAGTAGCCTGTTAAGATATGGGTTTTGAAGAATTTCAAAATCTTTTCTGCACTCTGATATTGTGATTTGCATGTTTTTCAATGATACCGTCCAATTTCCGACCGCGTAAATACGATCAAGTGGCGCCAAAGTCAATCCCGGGCTAAAATCAGAACACCTGCTGTCCTGGAGAGGTGTCAACGGTCAAATTTACTTCCGAAACCCGAGCTGTGAAAGCCGAAGCCTGATCAATAACGTGTAAAAGTAGCCGAGTATGCGATTGATTTCCGTTGGCATTTACAAGTTCATTGTTAACATTTACCGGGGTGGCTCGTGGGAAATGGAGTTACTAAAATGCCAGCAGACAGAGCGGAAAGTCGACTTCAAAATCGATAACCGCGAGCCGCGATTTTGTATTTTTTAATCCTCAAATTTGCCTTAGCACGGAAACTGCTAACATCCGAAATGGGATAAATTTCAGCATCTGATTCAAGGTATGCCCTTTTTGAAACGATTGGTACATTGAGTTTGTTTTGTGTGATGCTCCGGCCATAGTGTGTAGGACCCAGATACCTTCAGATTTAGGCCTATTCGAGGTCACCGAGGAGACATCAATGCTCACGCGTGAGTTCTTCAACTTCAGCGCGCATTCTTTTGGCAAGTCGCAACACCTCATTGGTCGAAGAGGTGTTGAGCGCGCGCGTACCGCCCACTCACGGGCGTTGCGCCTTCACACAGTAATGGTTTTAATTTAGTTCTGGATGAGCCTATCTGCCTCGAGCTCAAGTGCACCTCAAAGCGGCAAAAGAAAGACAGATGGTTGTAAGTTTTCCAAGCGGGTTCTAGCTCGGGTTCTCATAATCTCGCGTTATCATAAATGGGGTACACAAACGTTTAAGTATAAAACAAAACAAAATAAAATTTCCTTTCTTTGCCGACTTGCATGGTAGCTCTGTTAGAAGAGCGTTATACTTGAAATCAACAAGCTAAGGGTTCACGTCTATACGTAGTAAATTGTTTTCTTGGTGGGGAATAGTTGGTTGGAGGATGTTCTCATAATCGCCCGACATTTACCTCAGCACTTAAGTTTCTACATGTCCACGAACCTGATCGAGCTTGCAGTTAACCACGCCCATATATAATAATTACCCCTATATTTCCCAGGAAAACAATACGCAATAGGGACGGGGACCAGTCCATTTTCCATGATGCTCACAATATAGCAGCTTACTTCGTAAAATCATCCATCGATAGAGGGCGGT